GGGGGGGTTCAGTGTTGCTTCTTCCAGTCTGTAATGGAATATTCATAAGATGGAATTCATTCACGAAGATCGTCAACGCCTTTGGGAGTAGGTTCTGTGTACACAGAGGCTAGCGCGGGTCTCATTTGTTTTTCCTATTGAGTGTTTGATTTTTTCACGTCTTTAGATTTTTATTTCAGTTATCTATCTACTCTACATACAGTTGTTGTGTTTACTGTTGCAGTTGCTTTATCATAATTAGTTTGGGTATAATACTTTATTTGCGTTATTATCGAAACAGCGTGCGGTTATAGTTGTAACTGGTTGTTATCTGCTGCTCTTTTTTGGTCAACTCCGTAACTTACCTATAGAGAGTCTGTTTCGCTGATTTATTCCTAGTGAAATGCTTCAGTTCTCGAGTTGCTTTGCAGTAAACTTCATAACCCCCCCACCCACCAAAATCAACAAAAACAAACAAACAAGCTAACAAATAAACAAATAAACCCAACATTTACTTTGGTAACATGCTCTCACTCTTTCACGTAGGGCTTGGTTATATCTTCGTCATGTTCATCCTCAACGCGGTTGTCATGGAGAAGATGAGACAGTACCAGGATCAGATTATGATTGTCAAGGACGAGAGAGTTAAACTGATGTCAGAAGTCCTGAACGGGATGAAGGTAAGCTTTGGCCTTCTGATCAATCGTGTCTGTTTTGTTTGGGAGTTTTGTTTTAGTTTGTTTTTGCGTTGTTTTTGGTTGTTATTGTTGGGTGGGGGGGTTTTCCTCTCTCTTTTTATTACTTTCAGTCTAGTATTTAGTTTTCCCTTTGCATGCATGTCTTCTAGTGTGGACAGACGGGTGGACAGTGTTTATTATTGAAAAAAATACTAGGAACATTCGGTTCGTGATTTGAATCAAATCTTGGATAACCTCATTTTAGTCCAGTGTGATTCCTACTGAGACCGGAGAGTTCATAGATTCAAGTACGACAGAGCCGCCTGGAAACGTTGCCAGGATAGAGCTATTCAAAACTTAATGAAAACATTATTATTATTTGGCGAACATGTATGTCATTTAAATATGTGTGTGACTGTATGTGTGTTTGTGTGCGTGCGTGCATGCGAGCGTGCCTGTTTGCGTGCGTACATACATTTGTAACCATAATGTAATAATAATATGCGTACATTATAATGAAGTTGCGGATTCATGTATGAGTACCCAAAGTTTAACGTATCGACCTTTTCCCATTCCGTAGGTGATCAAGCTGTACGGCTGGGAGCCAATGTTTAAGGAAAAGATTTTGGAAGTGAGAGAAAAAGAACTCAAAATCTTGTTCAAGTACGCTGTCATGGACGGATTCCAGTCTTTTGCTTGGACTGCATCGTCGTTCTGGGTTTGTGTACTTTAGTCTAGACTTGACCGTTCTGGCCGTTCTGAAAGGACCGGTTTGGTTCTTTTGATCAGTGTTAGGACGTTTCCTTTCTCCTTCTTTTCAGTGCAAAATATTTTCTATATCTATTCCTGATTTTTTTTTTTAAGTGGGCGTTGTCTCCAGACTGTGTGGAAACACTGTCTCAAAAGCATTAATATGAACATCACCATCACCATCACCACCATCATCATCATCATCATCATCATCATCATCATCATCATCATCATCATCATCATCATCATCATCATCATAATCATCATCATCATCATCATCATCGTCGTCATCATTGTATAAAGAAGGTATTAAATATAGAAGGTATCATCGTCGTCATCATCATCATCGTCGCCATCATCATCATCAACTACTACTACTACTACTACTACTACTGCTGCTGCTGCTGCTGCTGCTGCTGCCACTGCTGCTTCAGCTACTATTACTTCTACTATTACTACTACTATGACTACTACTACTACTACTACTTCTACTACTACTACTACTACTACTACTACTACTACTACTACTACTACTACTACTACTACTACTACTACTACTACTACTACTACTACTACTACTACTACTA